GGGTGGTCCTTATTATAGTTGTAGTATAATATACCCCCAAACCCTCTTCCTTAAATTGTTAAGGCCCCGAGGTTCTCCGCCCCATCATCAACTTAACCCAGACAGCCGTCCGAAGGACCGTGCCTCGGCGGTCTTCTCGGAGAGGCGCCGCTTCTCCAGTTCCTCGCGCAGAGCGGCGTAGCTTACCCTGAGGGCTTCTGTTGATGATATAAATCCTGCCTTACCTTAGAGACCCTAAACTATGGGAATTATGGTGTCTTCCTTATAATGGGGAATGCAGGATTTATATCATCAGCCGTACTAGTGGGGATTGTTAGAAGCGTTACTAATAAGGACCAGAGGGGTTACTAATGAGGGCTACGAGACGGGTGTTACTATGAAGACTACCTTCAGGGTTCTTATAAGGGCCACTATACGGGATACTATAACGGGTTGCTACAGGGCTACAGGGTTACTATCAGGGACCTTAAGGTTTAAGGGTTTAGTTAGGGATTCAAATGTTATTGAAGAGTTCCAGGCTCCCTTTATATGGTTTCTGGTTCAGGGTTTAGGGTTTAGGGGTTCCAGGATTTATTTAGGGACTTGGGGGCTTAAAAGGGATTTGGGGTTAAGACGTTTAGGCATGTCTGGAGATATCGGAATTCAGGGGTTTAGGAAATCATGGTTAGGCGTCTAGAGGGTTGTTTTCTTGGGATTTCTATGGGTTTAGGCTTGATTGGATATAGATTCTATTGAGTCTTTTTGTGCGGGGGGTATGGCTTGCAGAAGGATTTTCGGAATGGTATAACCGCAAAAAGAGGTTGTGGCGTCCTGCATGCTCGTTTTGCTGTTCGTAACGAGGGTTTGCGGTTCCGTGGAGTGCCAGTGATAGTGCGCTGCTGCATGCGCCTGTCTGACATGCACAAAGTCAAGGTCTTAGCGTGCTGTGTGCCTTCTTGCCATGTTGACACAAGTTTAGCAAGCAAGCCACCTTTAACTCACTGAGCTTTCGGCAAGGAGTTTTGCATTCAAGGTTGCTCTGCAGAGGCAACCAACCATCACGTGGACACAAAGCTGATGTACTGAGTACTGGCTCCATCCGCTCGTCGGCTTACGAACGAGGCGCGCCTGTCGGAACAATGGGCACACCTTCGTCGCGAAGTCGGCAACCGCCTTTCTTCAAACGCATTCAACATACTGTAGATAAGGCCAGGGGCCCAAAGGCATGGGACACTCAGCCCGAAAGACCAACTAACAAGGTGTCGCACACCTTCAACAAACAAATCCCTTCCTTCTCACCAACGATCCGCAAGGAAGCGCGTTCTGTTCCAACGCAATACCCACAGGGCACCTGCCGCAGTGCGAGGTTTGGCACCAGCTCCTGGCGTCGGGGGACGAACAACACCGCATGTCCCGGTTTTGTGCATCTGCGGGAAGTCTGTGAGGATTGCGTTGCGGGCTTAGTGTTCGGCTGGCTCCGCATGACTCGGTCATGAACGCCGTAAGTATGTGGCGGCAAACGCTGCACTGCTGGGCATGGGAAGCCAAAAGAGCCGGCACACTGCATCATCAATGCAGGTTGCTAGTCCAGCAGCCGAAAACAGCCGAAATATTTTCAAAAAATCCGGACTATTCAACCCCATACCCATGTCCGCTACCTTTCTCCGCAATCCGTGGGCCTTTGAGCGAAGTGACAGATTCGTGAGCGGCGAGGTGCAGGATCCTTGGCGAAACCACTCCTGGCAAGGCCAGGCTCCAGGATTTGCGGTTTAGGGTTCAGGTTTCAGGCTCTAGGGTTTCTTTTGTTGAGCACCTTATTCCACCTAGCAGTTAAGGCTTAGGGTTTAGGCTTTAGGGTTTAGGTATTAGGGTTTAGGGTTTATGGGGTCAAGGGTGCAAGGTTTTGGGGTTTGGGGTTTGCGTTGTTGCGATGCCTTGGGTCACGAGTGCCCTTTGCCCGTCTTTTGTGTCAAGTATTTGGAACCTACTAGCTTGTCTATCAAGTACGTATGTGTAAGCATGCATCAATTCAAAAGCACATGTGACATGAAAAATATATGCATACACTAGCCAGACACGCAAACAAATGCAAACGCAACAGCAAGCACATACGGAACTGTGAGTGCGTATACATACATATACATATACATATGTACATATATATATATATATTCACACATGCACACATACATATACATGTAGTTGATAGCAGACACAAAAAGTAAGGGCCTTTGCTGATGCATCGGTGTCAACGTATGACCAGCTTCGGCTGAGCCCAAAAAGCTTCGATCTTGACGACGTCTGGCTCGCGATGTCGCCAAACACTCGATTTCCTTCCTTGAGTTCGGGCCTTCGAGAAACGTAGGGTTGCAAAGGTGTAGGTGGCCCTTAAGGTTCGTAATGGTACAGGCAGCCGGTGTAAGATCGGCGGAAAGACGGGGTGCATGTGAGACGCTGTGTGCACCTTGAACCATGTAATTACCCTATCTGCATACATGTAGCAAGTTGCGTACATGTTTGCACCTGCACGACCGAATAAGTGTACATGTGTGTGTATATATATATACATATATATGAAATTAAATTTCTACATGTATTTGCAAATGTTTCAAGCCTGCAAGCCAGACCTATGCGCTTGAGTATAAGTGAATGGTCTTTGTATCAGGTATTTATGTATGTATGTATGTATGTATGTATGTATGTATGTATGGATGTGTGTATGTATGTATGTATGTATGTATGTATGTATGTATGTATGTATGTATGTATGTATGGGCGTATGTATGTATGAGTGTATGTATAAGTGTGAGTGAATGTGTTAGTGTATGTATGAGTATGTATGTATGTATGTATGTATGTATGTATGTATGTATGTATGTATGTATGTATGTATGTATGATATGTGTATGTATCTACACGTGCCGGCAGTGATGTTGTTGATGGTGCTTCTAGGATTCTAGGTATTCTAGGTGTAGGAATACGAAAGCAGATGTTGTCTTGCTTGGGAGACATGGTAGTAAGAGTGGCCTGCGCCGAAGCAACAGGAGTAGCAGCATGAGTAGGATTGCTATAGCAGTAGTTGTCGTTGTGGTAGCGGTGTAGTTAGTGTAGTGGTCGTCGCTCTAAACTAGGGGGATTATTATTTTTGATTCTGGCCAGTGCTGGATTTTGTCCATAACAACAGTAGTAGAAAGCGTGGCCGTCGCGGCCTTTGCTGTTGTGGTCGTGATGGCCGTCGTCGTCGTCGTGTTGCAATAACAACCAAGTTCTCTTCAACCAGGATCTTGTGGACGAGTGTAGCTGTTGCGCTTCTAGCTTCGTTGCTTGGAAGTGTTGGTGTGCAGCGAAGGTGGTGCATGGCAACTGGGCATGCTGGTGGCCTACCTGTCGTCCTTCGGCTCAGCCGCCTGGCTTGACATGGAGGGCCAAGTACTGGGTTCTTGTTAAGGGATTTAATTTAAGTTACCATAGTAAGGAAACCATATTATTTACTATAGATCCCTATTATGGTAACTTAAATTAAATCCCTTAACAAGAACCCAGAGTAGGAACCTGCCCTGGAATGCTGCGCAGGCTTTGGGCCGCTTAGTCGCGGTGGTGGGCTCGGCCGTCGCCCTGAAGGAGCTCTTTCTGGTGCTGAGTGTGCACTGCAAACAGCTGGCCAGTAGCGCCGGGGAGAGAATTTTGGAGGTTGGCTGAGGCAACCGGTGAAAAAAGACCGCAGTCCCCATGGGCTTCTGAGCTAGCGGCTATCGCATTCAATTATGCACCGAGTGCCTGCAGCACCCATCCCCTGGTGGCGTGCCGAGATCCATTCGCCACCCTCATGGGGGCGGGAGCTGGGCAGCCGAAGAAGAAGGCAGGGGTTTAGGGGTTTAGGGGTTTAGGGGTTTATGAAGCGGTCGTCGGACGATCCAGGCGAGACTGACGCAGGGATCCTTGCTCCACATACAACACAGGGGCGAATTAATTATGAATAGGGGTTTAGGGGTTTAGGGGTTTAGGGTTTAGGGTTCCAAGAGTCCTGGATGCAAAAGGGTTTAGGGTTCAAACGCATCGAAGCCGAATCAAGATCATGACGGCTTCTTGAGTCGCAGGCCTCTGACAGTTTCTTCACGGACAAGGCGGCTACCTCTGATGTCTTGTGTCAAGAGTGCAGGCACCAATTGAAAGATCCTCCACTTTTGCTTTTGCCGTCCAGCTCTTTCCATCTTCCTGTGCCATTCACAGCCCCCCCGCCCCGCATCTCCCGGCGCCAAGTTCCCGCTTCTGCAAAAGATGAAGCGACCGGTGCCAGTCACTTAGAGACGAAGCCATGAGACGTGGATAAGTCGGGGCCTGCAGCATCAGCACCTAAACGACATTTCTGCAAGGCACCGCAAGTCCAGAAGTCTGTGAGGAAGACCAAGACCATTCCGAATTTAGCTGCCCCCCTCATGATGTTTGGGGTTGCTAACCGCGCGTTAAAAATTACGCCTTCCCGGAGACGGATTGTAGTGGAGGTTAACGTGGCATGAGCGTGCTTGGCAGACCTTGTAGGGCGTGAGCCGCGAAGTTGCAGCTCGCCGAGAGCCAAACCGGCAGCAGCGTAGAAGTGTGGAGCTGAGGTTGGTGGCCTTTTTCCTGTACTGCTTCCACAGGGGCTGGGTGGGGCCACTGCCCCAGTTCTGAGGTTGCGGTGCTGTGTTGCCACTGTAAGCTGCCAAGCCTCTGCAAAACACGAACCTCGGAGAGCAGTTGGGGCTGAGGCGGTGGGGCCTGCTAAGTGGGATGATGCAAGGGCCTCAGTCAAATCTCGGCATTTCCAACATGCTAGACTAGACCTGCTGGGCTTTCGCGAAGTCAAGGTCTAGACTCTGCGCAGCTTTCCAGCCGCCGTTTGGGTTTCTGTCGCAATATTCCTTATAGCAGCCTTAGCACAAGGGTGCGTGGAACTTACCGTGTGCTCCTTCTGGTCGCGAGGGCCTCCGTTGGTCCAGGACAAATTGCTTTGGCAATGGCGATGTACTGGTAGCTGCTGAGATAAAGAGTTTTTTTGAGAAAGCTTGCGAAACAGAGTGTCGGTTGGCAGAGAAGTTTGCCGCCGAATGATGGCTGAAATCATGGTGGCATCTGCCTCAATGAGTGTGAGCAGCTACTGAGACAGCACCCTTGAAGCGTTCCCAAGCTCAGGGCTTCATCCTACTTCGACATGCTGGCAGTGCCTCTTCGGGTGCTCGATAAGCCGTGACCTGAACCACTGGGACTTCATCTCGGCTCTTCCGAGCTTTCTGGGCCGGGTCGGGGGTCAAGGGTTCGAAGCCGGCTCATGCCTTCCTGGACCACAAGAATACGTAACTCGTAGGAAACACAGCCCTCATGCCAGACCTCCGCTTACTGTTGGCATCACGGAGCGTGCCGTCAGAGTGCTGCTGGCTACCAGTGATTTTTGTGCCTTTGTGGGTCCGCTCAGGAGTCCCTTTCGTGGACGTGCGTACATCGTCACTCAGATCTACGCCCCTTGGACGCTTGTGATAGTGACACATGGCATCACAACTCGGGGTGGCAGCTTTCCACGCTCTGCTTTGTGAGGTAGACTACTTGTTTAAGCTGACCGGCTACCTCATCAATGTGGCAAAGGGGAAGGCACCAAAGGGGGCCCAAGATCTGCCTTGCTTGAACCCTGAGGCTTGTGGTTGACAGCGACAGTCGTTCTCATATTCATATTGCATTATGTACATGATTTCACTTTTATACATTCTTTTACATTATTTCATTTTTCATCATATTGTATCACCTTGTCCTGTTTTCATATTACAGTACTGTTTTGTATTACATGGCTTTATGATGTATGTCATATCATACTATGACCTAGAATCTTCAAGAGCCTTTCTGGTCGCTCCAGCGCTTCCCCAAAAGCCATGGCAGGCGAAGTTCCCACCGGATTTTTCGCAAATGTTCGTGGCGCCCCTACTGCTGTTTGATGTTTAGTTTAGGTCGTAGGATGGGCTTAGGGCACTTCTGCGCATCGGCAGTGCATGCGTATGTACGGATGATGTGCGGCACGCACGTATGTTTGCTTAGATGCATCTTCTGGTGACCATGAGTAGCAGGTGCACACATCATTATAACTTGAGTGTGTTGAGCTACACTCTGAGCCCTAAAAGTTGCTTTGCCAAGACAAAAGAACAAGAATCCTCTCCAACTAAAGAAGGCAGCAAGTAGTATTTTCTGGGTCTTTTGTTTTCTTCACTCCTCATCGCCTGCCTTATCCGCCTTGCTGTGAGTGTCGCCGTCTGAGCGCCGACCAGCCTTTGCTGTTGTCCCAGTGGTTTGAAATCTCAAAGAGCGCTCAGACTCCACCGGGCGGTGCCGCTGGTGCGAATCCCTTTGGTGCACCAGGCAGGAATCCGTTCTTATGTCAGATGTATCAAGGCCGTAAGCTTTGGGTGTAGTCGCTGAAATGATCGTTTTCGGATTTCGGGTCATTCTCTGTGGGGTTTCGGAAGCTGTCACTGCCAAGTTCAGATGAAGCCTGTGATATGGAGACAAATGGAGACCTTCGCCCGACGCCTTGGCTAGAGCCCAAGCCACGGTGGGTCAGCGACAATAAGGCAAGCTTGGATCTCTTAGCGATTTTCTAGCTGTTCGTCAGGTTGGGGTGCGTAGAAGTTGCTATGGCGGTCCGCTGTGCACTGGCCGTACTCGCTGCTTCCGCTGCAGCACAACTCTGCAAGGATCAGGGTTGCATCCCAGTGTTCAGGAGCGGTGCACGGTGCCAGTGCTTCCCGGGCTGTGATCGCTACGAAGACTGTTGCTCAGACTTTAGCACCGAATGTTTCGACTCCGCGGGACAATTTCGGACGACGGTGGTCGTTGAGGGAGGCTTCGAGTCAAAGACCGAGACCACTTCACGGCCGCCGCGCCCGCCGCGCCCGCAACACCGGAAGCCTGTCGTGCACTCGAGCCCATTTCACAGCGAAAGCTGCGCGACTCGCGGCTGCAGCAGCGACTTCGAGCCCGAACGGCCCTGTCAGTGCAATGCTGATTGTACTCTCCATGACAGTTGCTGCCACGACTTCGCAGAATCTTGTGGCACGACGAGCGCTGAGAGCACCGAAACACGATCTTGCAGGGCATATGGCTGCGGGGAGCTTTATGTAAAAGGTCAGAACTGCCAGTGCAACCCCTCCTGCAAGCGGCACGACGATTGCTGTCCAGACTACCGCACTGTCTGCCCAGGTCAAGCGAGTGGTGGCTCTTGCAAGAGCTATGGCTGCAGGGAGCTCTATGTGGACGGTCAGACCTGCCAGTGCAATCCTTCTTGCACGCAACATGACGACTGCTGTGCAGACTACCGTTCTGTTTGCCCACATCAAGCGAGCAGCGGCTCTTGCAAGAGCTATGGCTGTGGCGCTTTCGATCAGGCGCAGAGCTGCCAGTGCAACGAAGCATGCCTTGATCATGGCAGCTGCTGCAGCGACTACCGAGCAACCTGTGCCGCCACCGGCACCGGAGTTGAAGCTACTGGTGCTTCTTCCGGCTCGGTGAAGGCATCCTGCGCTGCTTACGGCTGTGTGCCATTCGATGCCCACAATGACTGTCAATGCGACTCCGAGTGTTTGCGACACAAGAACTGCTGCCCGGACTTTGCAGCACACTGCTCTTCTAGACCGATCCGAGCCCCGCAACACGGGCCGGGCTCGTGCGCAGAGCTTGGCTGTGACTCCTTCAGCCCAGCAGCGATGTGCCAGTGCAACGATGAATGTGCTAGGAGGGGAGACTGCTGTGCGGATTACGAGGCAACTTGCCACCTCCCGAAGGAGCCACTCGGCAGCTGTGCCATTTTCGGCTGCATTGGCTTCAGGCAGGGTAACGACTGTCAGTGCGACCCATCATGCCAGAAGCATGGCAACTGCTGCAGCGATTACTCTGCCTATTGCAGCATGCATGCTGAGAAGCTGCACGGAACCATTCTGCAGTGAAGTGAGGAAAGGTTTGACGACTGCCCTGGCCCGAGAAGAGCTCCCTGCATGTACAGAGAATCGTTGTTGTGTGCAAAGAAAGTCGACAAAGTCGACAATCACACCCGGGAACTGGTTTCATGATCCCTCGTGCGAGCTGCGTTGAAAAAAAAGCAGTTCAGTGGAGAATCCCGGGCATGGGAAGGTGATCGCGCAGGTGGAGGTTCGCATGAGGATTCAGGGGTGGTGAAAATTCCAACTACTTAGTTGAGTTGACTTTCCATCACTGAGGGTCTATGCTTGTCATTGACCGTTCCACGCAGGTAGATCAGATACTGCATGTCTGCATGTTAGTTGTCCTGGTACCAGCAGCACCTTGTCTCGTTGTAGCCTCTTCCGAAATAGCTGCCAGCTAGCAGCTAAATAGGGGCTCGCCTCTGCTTCGCTGCTGAGCTGGACTTGTGAGAGGGACAACTGGCATAGTCGTAGTTCAGCCTTGTCTGCAAGTTAAATTGCGCATGGACTTTACGCAGAAGCCTCGCCCGATTTGCGATGCAGTGAGAGTCCAAGATTACGTGTCACACAGAGTAACATGACAGACTAGAGAGAAACAGGGAAATTGGCATGGTACTGTTTGCACCGGTAGCAGAGTTGAGGGAACGTTTGGTACAGTACGTAGCACCGGGTCAAGTTAGCAGTGATCCCTGCAGCGGAGGTGCCAATCCCTTCGGTGCTCCAGGTTCCAACCCCTTCGCTGCCACCTGGGCTGCACCCCTGTCACGGCGTACGCGTTTGCAACGGTGAGGGTTGAGGGGCTCCGTGCGTTGATGCTCCTAGAATTCATTCTGCATATCGGAGAAGCGCGACTTGAGGTTCCTTCCACGAGCCTTGATCTCGCAGGTTCCTGGCATCTTTTTTCGTGCGGATCTGAGGACCTTGGCGGCAGCAATCCTTTCGACATAGGCGGCATGGCTGACGTTGCGGCCTCGGCGCAGGGCTTACTGGCACAGACCGAAGGCAGGCCTTTCTTTTTCCTCCATCGGAATCCCGGGAGGTTGCACCTCCAGGCGGCCCCTATCAGGCACCTCCTGTAAGGAGCTCAGTGCAGGGATGTGGTTATTTCTCACTGTTGTCGTGTTCGGGTGCAGCCGCTCCAAGCGAGGAAGGCAGCTACATACAAGTGAAATGATACATGCAGGTCTACTTTTTGGCACAAAGGGACCTCACCTGGGTCTCTGCACCACGCGCAGTGTGAGTTTACAGAGCTTCTCTCACGATTCTGGTTCTGGCCACTGTGGGAGTTTCAAGACATTGATCTCTTGGCAATCATTCTGCCATTGAGGTGCAGCCAACAGACATGCCCACGGCTGCCTCCCCAGCACAGAGACATGAGGGATTTGTCAGGCAGTGCAGGTGACTGGGGGCATGCAAGCGGTCTTACAGACTGCTATCCTGACAGGCTCCGACCGTGCGCACTGCCACGCCCCCGCCGGCAAACTCAGTCCAACAGCTGGCACAGCTACTTTCTTTCGGAGCTACCGTTTGGTCTAAGATCAGATGTAGACGGTACCATGTAGCTGGCAGTCGACCCCGAAAACCCATACTTCGAAGGCTTCCTTGCCACTTGCCCCACATTCTTCCTTTCTCTCTCTGTCCATGTGCAGCTGTGTATGTGCCTATGTGTGTTCTCCTTACCCCCACCCCCACCCCTCGAGTCTCCTTTGGTTTCCTAATAATTAGGTTCTCGTTAAGAATAGGAATCTGTTGGTGTGGATCATGATGAACCATGCTGATGTGCCACGCTGTTTTTGGTTTAAGTCTGATGACTGAGCCAACATGTGAAGGGGCCTTTCGCCCATCCTTATGCAGTCTGTAAGATACTGCCGCACTGGCTAGTAGACTTCGCAATTTGTACAACTCGGAAGTGACTGCTAGCGAACAAGCCGTAAGAGTGGAAAATTCGACGTGTGCTCTGCCATGGCCTCTCTGTAAACCCCTGACTAAGCCGCTAAAAGAACAGGCATGATCGATCCCGATCTTCAGGGTATGAGCCCAAAACGCACTGCTGTGCTGGAGGGAGAGGTCGATGGACCGAGCTACAGCGCACCAACGGCGCCTCCTGGTTTGCAAGAGCTTGATGCTGCAGCTGGGGCTGGTGTTGTGATGAATGGTGTTGGGGCTCATCCTGATGAGCCCCTATCCTCAGGAGAACAAGCTACCGTACTTCCCTCTGTCTCGAATCCGGTTGCAGCGAATGTGTCAGAGTTTCTGAGTGCAGCCGCGTCCGTGAGTCATGATGATCATGCATGGGCTAGAGTTGCCGGCCGGATCCTCGTCGGAGCTTCCAGGTGTGAGTGCTTTGAGCGCTCAAGAGACGACCAGAGTGACTGCGGGCGGCTTTGAGTTCTCCCCTCCAGAAGCCTTGCCTCCTGAACCGCAACAGCAAACTCCAAACAGTCAGGTGATGTGGTTTGCTCGCATCGGAGAGTTTGTTCAGCGACGGGTTGCCCAGGCAAGCTCAGCTATGAACCCCATCCTGGAATTAAGACAGCAGCGTAGCACCGCACAAGTGCTTTCGACGCCATCTCCAAGGGTGCCTCGGCTTTTTACTCCAGAGGCTGAGCAGACCATGGCGCAATGGGCTAGGAGGGCTCCTCACTTGTACTCCCCGGAACAACGTGATGGTCGAGCTCATGAAGAGTCATCGAGTACCTCTTTAACTCAAGAACAAGTTCTGGCGGAAGTGCAGAGGCAAGTGAAGTCAGAGATGACAGTGCACCATGAAGAAAGACAGCTTCTACAGTTTGAGAATCGACAACTCAAGGATATGCTTGAGAAAGTCTTGGTGCAGGTGCAGGCACGTGGCTTGGACGGCGGAAGTCATGATGGCCAACGTGGAACTTGTCTGGACCCCAGGGAGGCGCAACTGCGGCGGAAGCCAATGAGCGTGGAGGCAATCCAGGCGAGCTACGACGGCCCTTCAGCGGTGCTGGGGAAGATCTACCAAAGGCCCAACCAGGCCCGGGACTACGTGTACCTGATATGCAGGAACAAGGTGATCCACGACGCGGCTGCGAAGGTGGCTCGCATCCCGGCGGTGACCCACTTGGGGTATGGCTACCTTTGAAGGACAAGCGCCCTGCAGGAGGAAGTGGAGTTGGGGTTTCGAGCTATGCAGCTGGAGGAGGACAGACACCAGCGCCGCCACCCAAGGCGGCAACAGCGGCGAGTGGAGCTGCTTTGAATTCGGGCCGGGCCAGGCTTTCCAAGATCCACTTGGAGCTTTGATGCAGGGCATGGCTCAGCTTCAATCTGCGATGTCGGAGTCATTGTCTTCGAGAAACAAGGACACCGAGGTGGTGAAGCCAGGACTGGCCGAGCTTCCCAAGCTCCCGGAGATGGGTCAGAACTCAGCCATAGATGTTGGAGACTGGTTGCATGGCTTACAGAACCACATGGGTGATTTGAGTGGAAACAGTGGGCAATGGCGGGCCGAGATCATGGCGTGCCTCGCCAAGTACTATGAGGCCTACCTGGCGGCATCGCATGTCGGCAAGCTCACGGGTGAACAAGCTCTTGGACGTTTCAGGTTTCACGAAATTGTGCCTTGGATGGTTTCAGAGCTTTTCTTTGGGGGTTGTGTTTTTTTGTTGTGCTTCAGTTGCTGTTCGGTTCTGTAAGGTTGGCATCAAATACGGAGGCGACCCGACCCATTTTCCTGCGCAAACACCTGCTCGATGTGCACAAGGTGGCGGTTGATGTTTTGTCCGCTAGTGTTGAAAAGGATGCCAAGCGCTTGGTCTCCTTGGTCGGATGCCCCGGAACTGGCAAGACGTGGTGCGGCTGGTTGGTTGCCCATGCCTTGCAGAAAGCAGGGAGGGGGACACTGCATGTCACCATCAGAGGCCATGAGGTGATTGTGGTGTCCGAGTTCAAGAGCAAGAAGACGCATGAGATCGCAGATTGGAACTATTTCATGCTGAAGCAAGTCCTGAACGAGAACCAGTGCGATGTTTGCATCATCGATGTGGGGAACAAGACCCCCGCCGAATCCAATTACATTTTTCAAGGTGTGCGCACCATTCTGGAGAGCAGCGCTGAGCCGAAGCCCTTCCCGAAGGTCAAGTTCATGGGCTTGGTTTCTGGACATGGCGAGGAGACCATAGTCGGCAAAGATGGGTTGGACGAGTGCACCCAAAGGCTGGTTCTGTGGAGTTGGTCCGAGCAAGAGTTCAACGCTTACTATGAGGCTGTCAAGATGGATGGCAAAGCCGAGCAGTTGCACGAGAAAGCCTATGGCACATGTGGAGGTTCCGTTCGTTACTGGTTCAAGACCGAGAGGGACCAGGCTAAGTTGGACAGGGACGTGGAGCAACTAAGCCCTCAAGACATGCAGAGGTTTCTGACTCCAGATCATCGCCCCACCTCGAACGCAAATCACCACGAGCACTCGCGACTGTTGGCTTTCTTTCGCAAGCCGAATTCGCCCGAGGATGACTTCAAGCGTGGTGTTGTGTCCGCTTACATCGTGCCTCGCTCAGAATACGTCATCCGCAGCATCAGAGCACACAAGAAGTGCAGTTTCTCGCAGTTCAAAAAGATGTATGAGGTGCTGCTGCCTCTGAACCCGGGCGCTGCCGGAACGCCGTTTGAGATTCTCGTGCATTACTTCTGGGAGGAGCGCATCAATGAGAAGGGCAACACGACGTTGCAAATGACTGACCAGCATGGCGAGGTGCAGACAACCATATCAGTGAACTGTGCTGAGTTGAGGACTGTGGCTGAATGTGATCCTGTTGAGTCTTGGGACGACAAAGACGCTGTAGATGCGAACCTGTTGGGGTATTTTACTTCAAACAACAAGAATAACTACCCCAGACTGGACAGCATTTTGCGCTACAAGATTGCTGACCAGACAAAAGTTCTTGCAATCCAGGTGAGCATTGGCAAGGAGCACACGCAGGGAGACAAACCAAACAACGCGCTGCTGCATGAAAAAGGTGAGAAGACAACACTGGCACTGTGGGATCACCGCGACAAGGGCAGGAAGTGTGTGTGGAAAAGCCACGCGTCCGAGGATTGGGAGTTGGTTTATGTCCGCTGTAGAGAGTTCGATGACAAGATGAGGCACAGTTGAAGACTTGCCGTGGCTCACAGGACAGGAACGACAGTTGCAAAAGAGGCTGAGCGTCCGCATCGGTGCAACCCTTAACGCCAAACCCTGAACCAAATTCTACAAGGACCCCCTTGCCCCTTTTGGGTAATAATGCCACCTTAGAGAAAATAAATGGGGTAATGGTTATTCCTAGAATTGTATTGATAATGGGGTAGTAGTAGTGATATATCGGTGAAGTGTAGGGGGGAGCCTAGGAATAATCATCTAATGGGGAAGTAGTAGTGATATATCGGTGAAGTGTAGGGGGGACCCTAGGAATGATCATCCAATGGGTTGACGGTGGCACTATTACCCAAAAGGGGCAAGGGGGGGTCTAACTATAATTAGGGTAACTATAGTTATAACCCAGATTAAGGGACTTATAACCCTATTTATAACTACCCATGAACCTCCAAGTAGCACGGATGTCTGGTAAAGTCACCGGTATGTCAAGGCCGAGTCCGGCAGCAGCGAGGTTCCGACTTGGGGTTGCAAGCGATTCAGGGTTTTTGAGGCTTGGGGGTTTCGCGTTTAAGGGTTTAGGGCTTAGGGTTTCAGGGTTACAGGGATCGGGGTTTGCGGCTTAGGGTTGGTCGAGCTGCATGCTCCTCAGTCAATACGATGGAGGGGTGGCTGAAGCTGGCTAGACTTAAGCCCAGTGGGAAAAAAGGGTTGGTTGAGCTCGAGGTGTTTTTTGCCTTTCGCGTAGTTGAGGGCTTGGGGTGTAAACTAGTTGTGTAGGCTGTTTTTTGGGTGGAGTTTGGATATGCCGCGGTTTAGTTAACAATAAATTGCGCTAAAGAGAAACGTCGGTAGGCTTCACGCGGGCTTGTCTCGAATTCGCTGTAGAATTTAAGGGAAACCGGATCGGTGATCTGTGGTAGAATGATAGAACCGCAAGCGCAACAGCGAGAAAGCAAACTGCGTAGGACGCAGCTACGCCTGAGAATCCGAAGCCGAAGCCATACACCCGTGTAGAACGGCCTTCAGGAGGCCTGAACTGAACCTGCAAACTCCCAAAACAATCGCGGCTTTAACAATTAGAATAGGGTCTTGGGGTATATTCTATACTATAACTATAATAATGAACCCCCAAAAGAGTATAGGTAACTATGGGGCAGGATTGAGGGCTCGCGGCCCCAACCGCGACTGATCTTTGTATGGGTGTAGGGTCCATTCATTTGTCGTCAGTCGCACATATCCGCAGATTGGTTGGTGGCACGTGCGTGCACTTCCCGAGCGTACTTGCCTCCTGTGGGGGCTCCGAGTACTCAGTTCAATGTCTAAACAGGCTGCTTGGCGTTGCTGCGCTCATCTTGTTCACTCAGAGCCCTAACCCAGGATCAGCAGGCACTGAAGCACAGCTTTATCCGGCAATACTTGGAGGTTCATGGGTAGTTGTAAATAGGGTTATACGTCCCCTAATCTGGGTTATAACTATAGTTACCCTAATTATAACCCCACTTATAAGTACCCATGAACCTCCAAGTGGGGCGTGGGTTCGAGATGGGACGCGGCGAAGCCTTGCCCACCCTTCTGCGAGGGCAAGAGCCGGAACCCTGGACACAGTTCTCAGTTTTTGGTAGCCGTTAGCAGGCCTTACGGTAGTAGCCTTTATAGCATCCCTTCGAATTTTCCTTACAGCAGTCCTTATATTATTATTACTATTATTATTATTATTACCATTATTATTATTATTATTACCATTACTATTATTACTATTATTACTATTATTATGACTATTATTATGACTATTATTACTATTATTATTATTATTATTATTATTATTATATTATGTTAGCCCAAAGCAAGGGCCGAAGACGATGCAGGCCCACCGTGCAGATGTCTGCGGAGCCGCCCGCTTCGCCTCCCAAGCCTCCACCCTCGAGGCCGACGGAGAAGTGTGGGGGTTTAGGGTTTAGGGTTTAGGGTTTAGGGTTTAGGGTTTAGGGTTTGGGGTTTGGGGGTTTGGGTTTATTTCGTACTTAGGGTTTGGGGTTTGGGTTTATTTCGTATTTAGGGTTTGGGGGTTTGAGTTGTGTTAGGATTTCGGGTTTGGGGTTTGGATTTATGTAGTATTTAGGGTTGGGGATTGGGATATTTTACTATGTAGGGTTGGGGATTCGGGTTTATTTGGTATTTAGGGTTGGGGGTTTGGGACTATTTAGTATTTAAGGTTGGGGATTTGGGATTATTTACTATTTAGGGTTGGGGAATTGGGTTTATTTACTATTTAGGGTTGGGGATTTGGGATTATTTAGTATTTAGGGTTGGGGATTTGGGATTATTTACTATTTAGGGTTGGGGATTTGGGTTTATTTATTATTTAGGGTTGGGGATTTGGGTTTATTTGGTATTTAGGGTTGGGGGTTTGGGGGTTT